CTGTTACATTCAAAAGCAGTAACAATAATGGAATTTGTAATTTTGTAATTTCCATAGTGATAAAATGTTTTCAGTATAAGTGTGAATCTCACGACGGCACGTCCTGGTCACATTGAACCGCAAAATCAAGCAGAAAACAAGAAAACAAATCATGCGGAAATATATTGATTAGATTTTAATGTCATACAATCAAAAAGCATGTACAATACATACTGCCACAATGTATGAATCCCGACGTTATTGTATTATAATTGAGACAGCCTACTATTATAGTTTTTAATTAATATTTTTTATTTTCAGTTTTCATTTTTAATTTCAGTTAAAAATGTCGTTTTTATTAGTTTCCATTATAGTTTTATTCATTTTTATTTCAGTTTTAGTTTTATTTAATCAAGGTAAACTACAGTAAATAACAATGGGAAGTGAAACAAAAGCTGAAATAAAATTTTAAAAACTTTTTATATTTTATTTTATTTATTTAAAATGTTTATGGTTTTAGTTTCAGTTATAATAATAACAACCATGATGAATAGAATCTGATTTCCATTTTATATATTTTTTTTTACGGTACAGAGTTGAGAATGTGAATTTTGTGAAAGATGATGGAGTGAAAATAATGTTGCAAGGTAAACAAGCAAAAAACCTAGTGGACCTAAAATTTGGCCAGTCTTTCTGTTGAATTCCAGGTGAAACGTGATCCAGACGTGTTCCTGACGGGCTTCGAGAGATTCACTCATGAGTTCACAGGTAGTTCTAGTGTATTTGAGAACATTACAAATGATATACAAGTGAAAGTTAAAGTAAACCATGATATTAATACAGTAACTGTGAGAAGTGGAATAGAAGTGTGACTGTCGATTAAAGAGGTGCATCGTTCTACCTATCTATCAATCTATCTATTTATCTATCTATCCATCCATCCTCCATCCATCCATCCATCAATCCATCCATCTATCATCCATCCATCCATCATCAATCCATCCATCTATCATCCATACATCCATCCATCGTCAATCCATCCATCCATCTATCAACCATCCATCCATCCATCATCCAACCATCCATCCATCCATCTATCATCTATCCATCTATCATCCATCTATCATCCATCCATCTATAAATCAATCCATCCAGCATCCATCCATCTATCATCCATCTATCATCCATCCATCATCAATCCATCCATCTATCATCCATCCATCCATCCATCTATCATCCATCCATCCATCCATCCACCCATCATCAATCCATCCATCTATCATCCATCCATCCATCCATCCATCATCAATCCATCCATCTATCATCCATCCATCATCAATCCATCATCAATCCATCCATCTATCATCCATCCATCTATCATCCATCCATCCATCCATCCATCCATCATCAATCCATCCATCCATCATCCATCCATCATCAATCCATCATCAATCCATCCATCTATCATCCATCCATCCATCCATCTATCATCCATCCATCCATCCATCCATCATCAATCCATCCATCTATCATCCATCCATCCATCCATCCATCCATCCATCCATCCATCCATCCATCCATTTATCATCCATCTATCATCCATCTATCGTCCATCCATCCACCCATCCCTTTGGTAGATCATCCACCTTGCCTAAAATAAGTCAATACCCAAAAATATAGAACAAAAATGTGAAATGTCTCAATTTAAACACAATTTGGTAAACCGGTATACTTTGGTGTGCGATGAACCCGAGCCAGCTCATCATTTGCATGGGTTGTGAACATCAGACAGAACTAGCTCATGAACAGACTGTACGTCTATCCAGTGAAACGTGGCATCCACCCAGACGAAGATCCAGCCAGTAACAGAAACACAGACGTTCACTCCAACAGTGAAACAAAAATAACAATGCTGATCAATGCGTTGCAAAAAGTCATAAATTAAAGAGGTATTTCTTGAGGAGGTTTGTGAATGTGGCATCAGGCTGTCTGTGTGGTTGGTTGTGTTTGTGCAAGTGTGTAACGCCAAGGGCACATTACAAGACGGTCACACACCAACCTGAGCAATTCAAACACTCAGGGGTGAATTCACAACACAGTTCTGCTTGCAATAACATGCATCCTATTCACTACCCAACCGCAATCCAGGTTAATCTGTGCTGCTACTGCAGAAGTATTTACACTACTGTTCAAAGCTTTCCGGTCGTGACATTTTGAAGTCTCTTCAGCTCACCAACGCTGCATTTATTTGATGAAAAATACAATAAAACAGTGATATTGTGAAATATTATTACAATTTAAAATAGCTGCTTTCAATGGAAGCTTGTTTCCGCCACTGAATTAAAATTTCAAAAGGTAATTGCGACTTTTTATCTTTATTTGTTTCACAATTTTGTTGCCATTTTTCGCAAACAAGTCATTTTTCCATAATTTTCTGTGAATTTATTTTAAAATGTAATTTATTTCTGAGATCAACGCTGTATTTTCAGCATCATTACTCCAGTCTTGTCAGAAATCATTTTAATATGATGATTTGCTGCTCAAGAAACATTTATGATTATTATCAATGTTCAAAATATTGTTAAAACCATGCTACATTTTATTCTTCAGGATTCTTTGATGAATAGAAAGTTCAAAAGAACAGCAAATAGAAATGTTTCGTTTCTTTACTGTAACTTTTACTGTAACTTTTGATCAATTTAACACATTCTTCCTGAATAAAAGTATACATTTAACTTTTGAACGGAATTGTAAACTAGATCAATCTTAGAAATATAAGCACGGTTCATTTATATGTAAAACGAGCTTATTATAGAATTAAACATTATTCACAAAATTCAAGGCTTGAGCTTGTCCTGCATATGGAAAGCATGCAGAATTTTGTTTATAAGAGTTAAAAATAGTTTGTGTACATTTCCTAGCGATCATGGCAGCGGTAATTCATCTAATGATGATCAGATGATGGAAGAGAGCATTATAACCGGCATTCATCCAGACATGGCGAGTAATCGAGCACGATTTCATCATAAATCAGACGACTGAGCATTCAGAACCGGCCTGCATGTTCAGAATGTTTGGAAGTTATCATAAACGACTAGCAAACATAAAAAGGTGGCGCGCTTCAGTCTTGCAGTGTGCTCTTGGCTTAAGGAAAGTGTGTATAACAAACACACGTTAAGCTGATAAGTGAGTTAAAGCACCTTCTGTTGTGTGGAAATGAACCTTCATGGTATTCTTAATACATACTGAATACTGTTCCTTCATTGATGTAATTAATGTCAGAGTAACGCACAATTAACATTCTAGTATCTGCAATCAACTAACAAGAAACATTAACAAATTAATAAGTATTAATTTCAGTCGAATGTGGTAGTTCACTGTTAGCTAATCAATAACTACTATTTTTCTATATACAGTAAAGGTTCATAATTAACATGAATAATGCATCATTTATAATATAAGGTAATAGTAACCCACTAGTAATGACTCAAGAGAAAACCGTCATTTTAAAAGAAACCTAAAACAAACACTGATCACCATAATGGTGACTTAAATTTATGTTTTTTTTTTTTTTTTTTACGTTTTACTCATTTTAAATGGTTAACTTTTAAGGAATAATTTGATTAATTATTACTCAATTCTAATTTGTTCAATTTAATTAATAATATTGCTTGTAATCTGTTGCCACAATTTTATTGATTAGATAAAGCATATTCATTTTTACAGTCTATAAGGTAATTGTAACCCACTAGTAATGACTCAAGAGTTACTACATCCTTCTACTAATTATTTGGATGGGTATTTTAAAGTGAAAAACATGATAACCACTGAATTTGTAAGGTTTTGAGATTTTTGTAAGATTTTGAAATTTGAATTGTAATTCATTCTGATGGATTTGGCAACACTTTAGTCATAACTAGTGTGTTCCCATGATCCTCACTTTACAATACTGATCCAAATAATTAGTAATCAAGTCAAGTAACCTTCACTCTCAGGAATAAAAAAAGCTGTTACTGGTGCTGCACCTTTTCAAAAGGTAAACTTTTGTCCATTTTAGGTCCTAATATGTGCATTTTAGCTGCTAATATGTCCATTTTAGGTGTTAATATGTACATTTTAGGTGTTCATATTAACATTTTAGGTGTTAATATGTATATTTTAGGTGTTAATATGTATATTTTAGGTCCTAATATGTGCATTTTAGGTGCTAATATTTACAATTTACTAATATGTACAATATGTACATTTTAGGTGGTAATATGTACATTTTGAGTGTTAATATGTACATTTTAGGTGTTCATATAAACATTTTAGGTGTTAATATGTACATTTTAAGTGTTAATATGTATATTTTAGGTGTTAACATGTACATTTTAGGTGTTAATACATTTTAAGTGTTAATATGTACATTTTAGGTGCTAATATGTACATTTTAAGTTGTAATATGTACATTTTAGATGCTAATATGTACCATTAAGGTACCAATATGCACCCTTTAGGTACAAAAGTGTACCTTTTGAAAAGGTACAGCCCCAGTGACAGCATTTGTACCTTTTTTTCTGAGAGTGTTCATTTATAAAGCGCTTTTAACAGTATGGATTGTTTTAAAGCAGCTTTACAGTTACAGTTATAATAGAAATTACCGTAACAGATTGTTTAGGCTTTACAACAGCAATTGGGATAAAGTTATTGTCCAGCTAAAGTTAGTTTTGATTGATTCACCTCCGTCGGACAGAAAAACTAGTTTCTTTAGAAAGATGATTCATTACTAATGGGTTACCATTACCGTATATTATTATTATGCATTATTAATATTAATTCTGAACCTATATATACTAGTTATTAGTATGAAAAATACTGATTAGCTAATAGTGAACTACCACATTCGACCAAGCGCTATTACCTAATTCGTTAATCAGAGTTTCTTGTTAGTTAATAGTAGATACTAGAATGTTAATAGTGCGTTACTCCTTTGTTCCTGTGTAGTTATTTACTCACTAATGAAGGAACAGTATATTCTAAAGTGTTACCAGTCAATCTCATAACGCCTCGAGGCAGATAATGTGAAACGTAGGCCTTCAAGTTACTTTTCACGAACTTTCCATGTGGAACTGGAGCAGATCCTGTATCAGAGGACCCGCTTCACCAGAGTTTTTATCTCTCCGGGGTCAGAAGATACAGACCTCAGCGCTTTCTGTCCCTTAACCCTGCAGGACGTGCTTTATTCCTGTGGTTCATGTGGTTTCTCTGCTCACGATGGCAGATTCTCCGCGTGTGCACCGCACAGTCGAAGCGCTCGTGCATCACCGATTCCTTGCACCGGAATTCCCTCTCCTAGCTTTGGATTGACTTTACCGGCTGTGTTTCCTCGGCTCCTCATCCCACACAGCTGCAGTTGGCCGCTGAAAGCCATTTGATGGTTTGCCAGCTGGTCTGGGCGTCCATGAAAGAGACGGTCTCGAAGCGCGTCGGCCTGCAGCAGGGGTGAGTGCTCACTTTACGGCCTGAGACGCTGCCGTTATCCGTGAGCACTTTCAGGGCCAGGTCGTAGTTCTTACGGGCGCTCATGCACGTCCCCACGCAGTACTTAAACATCACGATCTCGTCCGAGTCGTAACCGAGGCCCAGGTCACGCACCTTCATCTCCTTCTTCTCCAAACGACAGTCCTGGTTGCTCCGGCCTCGCGCGCGGTTGCGACGTTCCTTGCGGTTTCTAGGAGATTTCCGTGAACTGGAGTTTGTAGAGGAGGATTGCCAGCGGACTCGATGACCCTCACCTTCTTCGGCTAGCGACGGGTCTGAGGAGACAGAAAGCACAAGCTGATAGTAGATCTAACGCGGCATCATTACTTATTTTGTTACAAAAAAACACAAAAACACAACATAAATGATCAAATAGCTTGTTTTCACGTGACGTCGCCATGGCGCGAAACGCAGATGGAGGGCAGGAAGTGATTTCTATATTTAGGAAGCACTATAACACACTCAAAATTCCTACGTTTTGCTTCGTTTACGGTTGCTCAAATCGATCAAACCACGAGGAGTTTTTATCGTGTGACAAAAGTTGTTGTTCATAAGGGGGGGAAATACAAGAAATTGACAGAAAAACACTTGGGAAAAATGCCTTGCAAACCTACGTCTGCGGTCGGGAGGAGCCGAATGGGAAAATGCCTGCGTGTGTGTGTGTGTGCGCAGTGATCACTTCGTCAAATGTGAGTTAATACATTATTTATGTGGCTTATAATTACATTATTCAGGTGTTTAAATACACGTATGTGGCTGTTTGTGTAATGTACCAGTTTCCGAACTTTGTATGTCTGTAAGACGAGTTAGTTGCTGATATTTACAGCCTCCATGGCAGGCAAATCTCTCAATTCAGTTGAAAATCGGTCCTCTTCATAACGTAAAGGATCACGTCCAACATATGTTTTGATTTTCTGTTTATATATTTCTCTTGTAATAGCGTTTAAAGTAGTACAGTACGGATTTTCCTCCGTCTCGTCCATTGCGCTCTTCACTCCTTGCCCTCCATCTGCGTTCCGCGCGTCAACACAATCACGTGACTGCAAACCACCTATTTAAGAAACCACCTAGCTTTATTGGTTAACATTACATTAAACTGTCATGTGGTTGGTTTAGACATGAGGCCGTTATAACATTTTAATGACAAATTCAATTAGTACCACTGTAGTTGAGGTCACGAAAAACATTCATGACACAATTATAATGGCCTCAAGACAGCCAGTTTAATGTAATGTTAACCTATAAAGCTAAGTGGTTTCTTAAGTTTGATAATGAATCTGCTGTCATGTTTATGACAGGTTGTGCTGTCTCAGTAATGTCAAGTTGTCATGATAAAGACACTGACAGGTTATGATGTATTGGTTTATGTCAAGGTATCATAACAAAGACATCTCAAACAAAGTCATATTTGCATTCAAAATGTCATAATCGAGTTAATGACAGTTGTCATAAACATGCATAAACCATGTGTCCTGTCATGATTATGAAGGTGTCATGTCAGTCTTATGCACACCCCTTTAAGTAAAGTGTTACTGAATATGACTGCTAAATTGGGTCTAATCAGTTTCAAAATAAAAAATAATAAAGCACCATTGAAAATATCATTAATTATGCAAGACTTAGCTGCTCGACCAATCAGATTCAAGGAACACAACTGAGTGCTGATATAACAGTCCAAGATGACTGTGTGTTTGGCTCTTTCTGCAACTTTCATTTTGTAGGTTGATTTAACTTATCAAATGTAGAAAAAAATGGGATTACATCAGGAATTAAATAAAGTCAAATATTAGGCCATTTAAATTTTTCTGAGTTTTCTAACTTAAAGACTGACTTTTTTTAAAGTGCAATTGGTGACGACCCAATCATTAATTCAATCAAATCATTAAATAAATGCTGAACTAAAAAAGTGATGTCTTTATGAATGAGTAATTGAATCATTCATTCAACCAATTGAATGGATGTAATATTTGGTCACTATACACAGGAGCCAATGATGTTTGATGTAATTTACATAAAACCTAATCTAATGGCAACATAATAGATTTGACATCTACAGCGGAGAGCAATATTTTTAATGCATTTCTACTCCTGTTCTATTATCAAATAAACTTGCAAATGCATTAAGTTTGCATTGTCTACTTATCATAACTTTATGATACTTTGAGGGTTTTTTTGTCAACTTGATAGCACCCGTCCTCATTCATTATATGGCTAGGCTTTTCTTTTTTAAGTGCAATTGGTGACGACCCAATCATTCATTCAAACAAATCATTAAATAAATGCTGATTCATTCATGAACTAAAAAAGTGACGTCTTCATGAATGAGTAATTGAATCATTCATTCAACCAATTGAATGGATGTAATATTTTGGTCACTATACACAGGAGCCAATGATGTTTGATGTGATTTACATAAAACCTAATCCACACTGAAAAAAATAATATGCTTTATCTAATCAATAAAATTGTGGCAACATATTACAAGCAATATTATTAATTAAATTGTACAAATTAGAATTAATTAGAATGTTAATTTGATTAACTATTACTCAATTCTAATTTGTTCAATTTAATAAATAATATTGCTTGTAATCTGTTGCCACAGTAAAGCATATTTATTTTTACAGTGTAATGGCAACATAATAGATTTGACATCTACAGCGGAGAGCAATATTTTGAATGCATTTCTACTCCTCTTCTATTATCAAATACACTTGCAAATGCATTAAGTTTGCATTGTCTACTTATCATAACTTTATGATACTTTGAGATTTTTTTTTTTGTCAACTTGATAGCACCCGTCCTCATTCATTATATGGCTAGGCTTTTCTTTACACACACACACACACCAAAAACAAAACAAAAAAATCATCTTTTGTGTTCAACAGACGATAGAAGTCATCCACACTGTAAAAAATAACTGTGATTTTAACGGTAAAATACTGTAAAAATGCTACAGTGCAAAACTGTTAATTGGTAAACAGAAAGTTTCCGTACTATACACGGTAAATAACTGTGATATAATTTTACAGTAAAATACCGTTAAATTTACAGTTTTTGAAAGTGAAACAGAACAAATCATTTTATAATTTACAGTGAAAAACCGTAAATTGACATTCCCACAATTCCCTGTGTGACACTTCATATTTTATGTATTTTTGTTGAAATAACTATAGTTCCTCATAGTTTTATTGTTTTTTTTCTAATCAGTTATGTACATTAGGGTTAAATGTTACATTTAATGTTGTTAAATTAATGTTTATTGCAATTTTTAATTTCATGTGTGTTACCATGATGGTGCTTGATGTTTGTGTGAATGACATTGTGCAGCTTCTTTAATTAAGTATTGCATTATACAAGTATTCACTTGTGATGAACTGTGATTGCTCATGTAACTCTCATCACTGCTGTGATGATTGTTGGTTGTCAGTGTATTACAATGGTCTAAAACAGATATCAATACATCAATAAGTTGGTAAATCCACATTTTCTCAGAAAATAAATTACGGTTTATTACTGTAAATTTTAAGTTAAGTCTGTAAAACCATTAACGATCCTACCGTATTTTTAACGGTAAAGTTCTGGCAACCACAGCTGCCGGTTTTTTACCGTAAAATTTACGGTTTATTTTTTACAGTGCAGGTTTGGAATGACACTGGCATGAGTAAATGATTTTCAGGTGAACTATTTCTCCAGAGAATCCAGCTTCTGGCACGCGGCTCTGATGCATTAAAATAGTCTCCATTTCTGGCAGCACAAGGCATATCCGCCCACTGTAATGTAACACTGGCATTTAAAAAGGTGATAACACTAGTTGCCCTGGTTCACACCTCAACAGCTGATAGTGTAACGGTGCACGTCTCTCCAGCGAGATCAGTGTGAAATTCCTCCTGCTGTTACCGTCACTGCTCATGACTATTGTTATACTGTAACTCATGCAACGGAGCATTGAAAACAGCCCACGACATGCCACATCATGTTTATAAAGTTTTGTTTAAAGTTGTTTAAAAGGTTAGGAGAACCTTAGGATTTGATTCAAACTTTCTCCAGGCGAAGATTGCCGTAATTAGCTTCCAAGGGAGCAATTTGCTGTGTCAAAACCTGCACAGAGGAGCTTTGGATTATTTGAAGTGGAACACAAAACTGATAAGAGAGAGAGAGCCATGAGATTATTCGATCGCATCGCATGCATGAGCTGGGGAAAACATGTCCAACATGTCCTACTGTACAACATCTGTGTGTCTCAATAAAGAAATAATCCTCCCTCTTGAAGGTGAAGCGTGTAATTTTTTGCGATCAATCTCATCCCAAGTAAATCAAACAGAAAATGTCTCTACTAGTTGATTGATATTGATACTTCTAGTAGGGGGTTTCTTAGGCTCTGTTTACAACTGGTATTAAGACGGTTTTGGTTGATTGAATCACAATTGGTTGACGCTAAATACAGGTGTAAACGGGATCTAAAACGTTTTGAGCTTGTCAGCCACTTTCAGAGGGAGTTAAAAACACAGATTGCTTTCGTAGTGTAAATGATAATGTGGTCGAATGCGTTCAAACAGCCACAAAAGACCGTCTTCTGAACTAATGCGTGAACATTATAGGAAGAGCTCTAGCCAGATGGGATTTTAACTTTGTCGGATGAAGACCCAAGTTTGGTTTGAAGATGAAAAATGTACCAAGCACAATGTTCTCTCTCCATTCTTGATTTCTAACACACACTCGCAGCGTTCGGCTGGTCTTGCGTTTGCCAGAGCATAAACTAAAGCTGATGCTCTCCGTGTGTCTTTCCATTGTCTCCGGGCGTTCACATATAAATTGTGTGAGTTTACTTTGTCCAATAGATCAAAAGATCTAAAAAAAAAAAAAAAAAGAGATATATTTACCCGCCCATAGACCCTCCCCTCGAAGAATTCAGGACAGACGTGGTTGAATATTTATCTGAATATCTGATTTCAATATTCGGATTCATATGTATAAATAGGAATCATATAAACTGAAACTGTCTGTTACCTTTTTCCATCAAGATACAAAATGTTTTAATACACTCTTTTTTTTAAAATAAATTAAAAATCTTAATTTACAATTTGAAATATATGTAAGGATTATTCAGTTAAATTTTGTATTGTATATAATGCTTATCCAATCATTAGTTAAATGTCCTTTTAAGTATTACACATTTCCAAAGAAAATTATACATGAAAAGTGACAAAAGTGACAGTTATACTGTTACAAAAGATTTCTATTTTAAAGCTGCAGTCTGTAGTTTTTCCTCTTT